TTTGCTGAAAACATGCATTTTAGGAGTTTGCAAACAATTGATGAGAGGCACTGGATAAGTGCATCAATCAATTTTAAGAAAATCAGTTTATTCACTGGAGGATAAAGCAAGCTTCCTAATTTCCTTGAGAGAAAAACATCAGTTATAATCAGAGAAGTGTACAATTGATTGGACCTCAAAAGAGAAACAATTTCTTAGCACTGAGACAGGATAAAAGAGGTCTAGTCTATGTTAAGGAGCTTGTCCAACCTGTATCTCAGAACTGTCAGGGATGGGAGTTTTAACTCCTCCCTGGGTTCTTTAATACACATTTGTCTGATGAAGTTAGAAATTTTATCCAGGTAGCTTCATTTAAAAACATTGTGACTAGAAACTGCACCCCATCATGTTTTTTATTACTCAAAAGGGCAAGAGTACCCCCCTCTCTAGCTGCAGGGCTTTGAAAACCAACATGCTGTCCAGCCACAGGGCTTGTATCAGATTGTTATAATGAAATGCCTTGAATTTTGATGCCATGTTCACTGTATGGATGTTTCCCCCTTTCCTTTCACTTACTAAAAGAAGCAGCAAGTACCCCTTTGACAATTTCACCTCCCCCTTAATCAGCCCGGCTGATCTGTTAAGTATCACTAAGCAGCTTGTAAAGAAAGAGCAGTAGATCAGCAGGCTCTCCTTGACTTGATTCCAACTTCCACCTCTGAAGACACCTATTGACTTACCTCTTCATCCGACATATTATTTAAAGAAACTACACTGTCAAGACTGGTAAGAGGCAAGCACAGAATCACAGAATAGTTTGGGTTGGAAAGGAGCTTAAGATCACCTAGTTCCAACCCCTGGCCATGGACAGGGATGCCTTCCACTAGACCATGTCACCCAAGGCTCTGTCCAACCTAATACCTGAATATCCATTGAGTCTTTCACCTCTCTCTGCTAAGTGAAACTAGACAGGAGATCCTACAGAAGCACATCCTTTGCACTTGACAAACCCAGAGCAGAGCTTTAACCTCATGCAACTGGAGTGAATTAAGAGTGGTTCAATTTAAGTTTTAAACATATCAAATTCACAAACATAACAAACTTAAGCTTTAAACATATCAAAGGTAAGCAAAGTAGGTATGAAGCAGTAGGTATGTAGCTCAGAACAAAAGCAAACAAGAAAAATATAGGTATTAACACTAGAAACTTACTCTAACTTTGCTGTGGGCCTCAGAAAAGAGATTACTTTGAGTATCTGTGTTACCATCTCTGATTTGAGTACACCATGTACTGTACTGAAGCAGCTCTGTTGCAATCAGCATCTGAAATTGCTGGATTAAAACTAGCTGTGGTGTATGAACAGCGGGCTGCAAGCATAACCCATGTTGGAGAAGAGGGGCTGGCTGAAAAAAAGAAAGCAAGCTATTAATATTTACAGAAAAATATTAAGAGTAAGTTGAGAGAAAAACAGTCATCAAAGGTAGACTTAGCAACCCATATACGTGTTAATGAGCCCTAATAGCATATCAAACTACATCAAAGGGATTGCAGCACTTGCAGAAACTAAGACATCTCCACAGTCCCACAGCAGAACAGAGTATGATGCTAGAGCGAAGAAGAGCCAGCCAGAAATGCAGGCTGCCTTGGCTGGAAAACACAAAGCACCTGCTGAAGTTTCCATGCAAACTTATCACAGAATCATAGAATCCCAGACTGGTTTGGGTTGGAAGGGACCTTAAAGCTCACCCAGTTCCAACTCCCTGCATGGGCAGGGACACCTTCTACTAGACCAGGTTGCCCCAAGCCCCGTCCAACCTGGCCTTGAGCACTGCCAGGGACGGGGCAGCCACAGCCTCTCTGGACAACCTGTGCCAACACCTCAGCAGCCTCACAGGGAAAAACTTCTGCCTAAGAGCTCATCTCAGTCTCCCCTCTGTCAGGTTAAAGCCATTCCCCCTTGACCTATCCCTACAGACCCTTGTCCAAAACCCCTCTCCAGGTTCCTTGTAGCCCCTTTAGGCACTCAAAGCTGCTCTAAGTTCTCCCCAGAGCCCTCTGTTCTCAGGGCTGAACAAATACAGCTCTCTCAGCCTGTTGTCAGCTGTTATTGTGGTCACCTGTGGTTTAATACAGCCATGTTCATTTTACCAAATCATTCACTATTCAAGGCACACGAATTAATATACAGCTTTTTAAACCAGTCTTGAACCCTCCCAAGCAACCTTTCAGCCACCCGACATATATTTATGCACCCTGGCAATGCACAGGCCCTGCTATGGACAGTTTCACCGTTTCCTGTCCACGGTCTCCAAATAGGTGTTTGTGGCCTCACCAAGAGCTCTGCAGAAATGAAGCTGTTCTTTGCCCTCTTTGCCCTGCTTCTTTCACAGGAGAACGCTAAGGCAAAAGGCCCGGTATGAACACTCCTAGGCTTCGAGCTCCCTCTGCAGTATTTTGCAGGAAATCGTCTTGCCTCAAGAAACCAATTCATTGGCTAGGAACTGGATCACCCACAGTACTTAAATTTCTGGGCAATCTCCACTGAAATCTGAGCTGGTCTAATAAATCATTTCTATATCGTTTGATTCTGACGTGCAGAAGTTATGATCTGTTGACCTTGGCAAATACTTGCTTTGTTAAAGCCTCTCAAACTGCTTTCAAAGGAAATAACTGGAGGAAAGCAAGTTGCTTGGATATTTTCAGCTGTCAATGTGTCAAAGTAGAGTTAACACGTCCAATGCAGACATAATAAAAGGGACTACTAAATTAAGATGCCAGGCATCAAGAGTGACTTTAAAAGCATTTAAGTGATGATTTACATCTTATTTAAATGATGATTTGCATATTTTATCTCCACGCTTGTTACTAATTCTGACACCATTAGAATTACACCGATGTATGGAATTGCTTTCACCCTTCCTCATACTTCAGTGCTGAATCTGACCACTGAAGTCGTATGGACCTATTAAAATCTCAGCTGATGCTGCTTTCAATTGCATGTCAAGGGATAGAGAATAAAGCTATAAATTACACTGATTTATACTTCCTTCATGTAGATTTGTCTCTGAATTCAGCTGCCAGCCCCAGTCACAAGCTATGTGCTAAGTGATTTGCCTCCTCCTGTTTTGTAGAGTCACCTTCCTTGGCCAAATTAAAATGAGATTTTATTTAACTGGATTTATTTGTACTTCTTACGTTGTTACTAAGGCTTACATCTTCTTTCTAAATTAATCTACACACTGCAAATACATTTCTCCTTGGTATCATACTACCCTTTTTATTAATGTGCTTAACACTTCAGTTTAAAGTATATTCAGAAAGAAAACACAGCTCTCAACTCAGGCACATCTCACCCCAGCTCAAGTTTAGTGCCAACTCCTCTCACATTTTACCCTGCAATAGGTGAATTCCCTCCAATTTGCAGCATTTATAGACTAAACAACACTCTCTCTTTTAAACAGGTTTAATACTTTACCTAAGAGACTGCAAGTCAATATGCATGCTGGCTGCTTTTTCAGGTTGGCATAATTAGGTGCTCTGTCATCTTTCCTGGATGAGCAACATAAAGAGGAGAAAGGAGGCTGGTGGAATTTATTGCCAATTTTGGGATTATATGGTTAAAAATCTAAGAAAATGCTGCTAATGCTTGTGCCTATGGGAGTTTTACAGATGTTTTGGAAGTAGGAGCTGCTCTTCGTGTTGGAATGAGAGCCTGGAGAAGGAGATGCAGGAGATAACACTTAAGCGCATGTATCTGACATGGCAATATTTAATGATCAGGACCATAGGTGTATTTGTGTGTTGCAATAATAATAAACAGTACTGGAAACAATTTAGAAATGGGGTACCTTGGTGAATCAACATGCCAGTGGCCACAGAGGAACAAGGAAATCACTGATCTACCTACACCTGCTGTGAGGAAAAAGAATTATTTTTTTCTGACCTTGGGGAGCTACAGAACAATGGGATGAATTCAAACTATCCCATTTAAGATAAAGTTCACAAGCTTTCACCTTGCATAAAAAGTGCCCTTAGAACACAGGGACTGATTTTTTGCTCCATTTACTCTGTTTTAAAGGTCAGGAGTTATTTCATGTCATGACCAAATGGAACAAAGACCAAGCTGCAAGCCCTTGTTTTCAGAGGAAGCAGAAGCTGCACAGGGAGAGGAGAAGCTGTTTTCATTAATGGCTGCCAGTGAGGGACATCACAGGAATCCTGCATTTTTGGGAGCATGGCTGTGATATGGTCTTTGTGTGCCCTTGCTGCCAGGAGGGACAAGAGCATCCTGGGGTGTATTGGGAGGAGTGTGGCAGTAGGCAGAGGGAGGTGATTCCTCCCCCTCTACTCGACCCTGGTGAGGCCGTCTCTGCTGGGCCTCTCAATATTATACAGACAAGGAGCTACTGGAGAGGTTCCAGTGAGAACCACAGGGATGATCAGGGGTCTGGAGCATCTATCTCTCTTATGAGGAGAGATTGCAGGAGCTGAGAGGGGATCCAATCAGTGCAGATCAGTATTCAAAGGCAGGTGGTAGGAGGATGGTGCCAGACTCTTTTCAAGTGGTGCTCAGTGACAGGATGAGGAGAAGTGGCCATAAACTAAAACACAAGAAGTTTCACTTCAACATGAGGAAGAACATCTTACATTGAGGATGGCACTGGAACAGGCTGCCCTTGAGGGTTGTTGCGTGTCCTTCTCCGGAGACTTTCAATCACTACTGCAAAACAAGGCTGTGACACCCTCCCAAGAGCAGCAGCAGCAAAAGCTAAGCTGCTTGGTTACATGAACATGTCTGTTCAGAAACAGGAAAGCAGAGATCCATGCCTCTTCAGAAACACAAAAGCAGCAGCAGCTCTGAGCTGGCTCTCCCCAACTAACTTAATACCACAGCACAACCTTGTTAAAATCTATTAATCTGGTCCTTTCTTCTGCACAGGTTACTCTACTGTGTTATTTTACTTACTCTACTGTGTTACTTAAGTACTTACTCTACTGTTATTTTACTGTGTTTACTCCATTTACAAGGACTTGATTAGAACATTAGTGTTATCAGTTATTTTTGATGCAGCCACTTCGATCTTGTTCTGTAAAAGAAGAAACACCACTGAACACCTATTCCAGTAGCTTTAAATTATGCCAACTACATTTGTTGAAGTTGTAACATTAAACTGACTGCTTTTCCCAGTAAATCACTACAGTAATAGTGAAAGGTGTGTACATTTCTGAGTTTTCATTACAACTATTTTTAGGCTTCTGGCAGTTTTACATTAATTGCTTTTAATGTTCCAATGTACTTCCCACTAAATCCCCTCTCCTCAGTTTATGAAAATTTCCCCTTCATAACAAAAACAGAGCCCAGTTAAAAGCCAAATACATGGGGATGCAGTGAGGAGCTAAAATAAAAGATGAAAGTGTTTAAGGCCAATTTGGATGGGGCTTGGAGCAACCTGGTCTAGTGTGAGTTATCCCTGCCCATGGCAGGGGTTTGGGACTGGATGAGCTTTAAGGTCACTTTCAACCCAAACCAGTCTGGGATTCTAGGATCTTAGATGGCAAAACGCAGCACCAGATAAGATCCATTTGCAATATTAGCAGTTATTCCCTTAATCTCTTTGCATACTTACAACAAACTGCAGCCCATTCATGTGTGTCAATGATTATTTTGGTAGGTTCAAGTAGAAAAATCAGAATTCCTGAACAATACTTACCTCCTCTGCCTTCAAGGAGAGGAAGAGAGGAGTTTTCCTGCTGTTTTGCCTTGCAGTGCTAGACAAAGCTGTCAAATATAGACCTGAAACCTTCGAGCAATATACTGGAACCTAAAAAATGCAAAAGCAATCTGTTAATAAATTTTACTACCTATCTGATTTGTGCTTCTTTAGCAGAATTTAAGAAGTATCGCTTATGCCTATACTAACATGATGAACTGCTACATGAAGACCTGGTGCAGATGGTTTGCCTATACTTACTTGACACCTCTGACTCAGAGGAGACTTTAGGGTAGCACTACTACCACAGGGAGCAACAATGTACTGCCAGTGCTTCTGAAACAGAACTGAATTCACTGTTTGGAATGGTTAGTGCAGATATAGCCTTTAATGAGGTCAACATGAGACTCTCATGACTGTAAAATTAAAATGAGAACAAAACCACATGGGTTTACTGGATTAAAAACATTATACAGTAGCAGCTCTCTAGCTTATAAAGGCTTTGAATTGCAAAATGATGTTTGATTTCCTACTGTAGAAAGAGCTATCTTTGATACAGCCACATAAGAAAAAGAATAAATAATTAATGGATAAAACCATTATTAATGTTTTTTTAAAAAAACATTAATTATCAAAACTTTAAGTTTTCATTGAAACTTACGATGAAAGTGCTTTACATAAGTAAAAGTTGAATGAGTGCTACCACTAATTTATCCAACAGTTTCTTCAAATTTGATTCAAGCTTTTCCATGAACTCATTTCAGCAAGAAGCTTCAAAACTGATGTGTAAGGATAGCCAGGTTTAACTGAAAAGTGTTAACTGAAAAGGACAAAGGCTTAACTTTAAACATAAAAGTGATTAATCCACCACAGAATCATAGAATCACAGGATGGTTTGGGCTAGAAAGGAACTTAAGATCATCTTAAATTCCAACCCCCTGCCACAGGCAGGGACACCTTCCACTAGACCATGTTGCCCAAGGCCCTGTCCAATGTGGTCTTGAACACTGCCAGGTATGGGACAGACAAAGCTTTTTTGGGCAACCTGTGCCAGGGCCTCAACACCCTCACAGTGAAGAACTTCTTATTTATATCTAACCTAAACCTCCACTGTTTGAATTTGAACTCATCACTTCTTGCTCTATTGCTTCAATCCCTGATGAAGAGTCTTCTCGCTGGCACAGGTGAGTGGTCAGCTACTACAATTAATCCCCTCCCAAATATCAGGATAGACTGCAAAAAGGAGCATACCTAGTCTGTTTTTCATGTCCTCAAACAGAAATACAGGTTTGTATGTCTAATCCCAACAAGCATCATTAGTTAATAGGTAGACAAAAATTCACCTCCCATGTCTGCATCACAGCCCACCTTCAAAGTGAGATCCAGACAGATTTAACTGAACCTGCAGCACTGATTAACATAGGCAAAATTACAGTCATTAAGGCACTCCCTTAGGAGGCTAAATTAGCACAAGCCATGCAACAATCATTTCAGTAAATGCTATGTGCTTAAAAACAATTAAATTTACAGTAATATAAAAGTTATTACACCCATTTATTTATTCCAGCCTTGCCTCAAAAGGTTAGGACAAATGACACATGCTTTAAAAGGCAATGCTCAGTCATGCCTCAATACAGCAAACATCTTTTGCCTCCAAGCCAAGAACTGAAAATAAGGTGCTTATTTATTACACTCTAGGTGCTTATTTATTACAAAGACATTTTATCTCTGGCTTAGCTCTAACTGGATATCAAGACCCTCTATTGGAGTAGTCAAAGAGCTGAGGTTTGGCAGAAGCTGCTCACAGAAGTAATTAACAAATTTTGTGGAATGAACATTTTTCTGCAGAAGAAAACATTTGATTCAGGATACTCTTTGAGTTTCAAGGAGTTGAATGTTTTCCCCCATCACCCTGCCACCTTTATAAATAAATGCTTACTACAAAGCTACCTTAAAACTTTGCTAATTCCAACTCCTAAAACACAGAGACCCTCCCAGGTAGTTTAAACTCATAGGCTGTCTGCAACAGGGGCTGAAAAGATTGCCTATAAGTCAAGAATAGGCCTTTAAATGTTGCAAGTGCCTGTCACTAGACTTGAAATAATCAAACTCACACATTCATGAACGAAGTGTGAGAATTTTGTCATTCATTCACTGTAACATCTTAAATTTGAAAGAACATGTCGAAGAGCAGAGAATAACACAGAAGATCCTTGCATCCAGAGGATTTAAGGATGTTTTCCAACATTTTAATACATTAGAAGATGAATGTGGAGAAGTACTCGTATGCTGTCATTCTAACACAATGACTGAAAACACTGAAGAGAAGCTACAGCCAGTAACTTTCCACAGTATTCCTCCTGGAAAGCAAATAAACTCTGAGAAGAGTGGCACTGCCTGCTGAGTACACTGTAGAAGTCTGTCCACAAAATCTGGATCAGATGGATTGAACATTTGCCCCAGGCCAGCTTGTTCAGCTATCAGCTCCACTGCCTCCCACTTATTTTATGTAAGCTTTTTAATCCAGACAATATTTTCATAAAGAGAACAAATTCCTCAACCATCGCATCTTCACGCGCCTTAACAGAACACCAGAAAACATATTTCTATGGCAGGAATTTGCAAACCTCCAAGTTGATTTGGAAAGGTAAAGTATGTAAATATTTAGCATTTAAATTTAGCTTCTAGTTATTTAAAGACATAAGTTTAAAGGAATACATGAAAACGTGCAGTGTAAGTGTAGGCACCTCCAAATCAAAGTAACTACCATCAAGTTGTGCATAGGAAACATTATTTTTCTTGGACTCCAACCTTAAGAACAAACTTCCTATCTAACAAAATCATGTGTTTCAGGCAGAATAAAGGTTAAAAGAGTACCTGCTCATTATTAATTAATACTTATAGTATCTTTCTTAGCTTAGGGAAATTCAACTCATGAAATTCAGCAAAGAAAACTGCAAAGTCTCACACCTGGGATGAATTAAATTCCCTGCATTAGTGCATGCTGGGGACTAAGTGGCCGGGGAACTGTTCTTCTGAGAAGACCCTGAGGGTTCTGTGGAACAGCAGGTTAAACATAAGTCAGCAACACTCTTGGGTGATGAATGATGTCCTGGGCTGTGACAACAGCACACTAGAAAACTGAGGGGTTGAGGACTGCTCTTTGATATGCCCTCACTAGACCAAATCTGTAATACTGCAGCAACTGTCAGGCTCTCTTGTATGAGGAAGTTGTTGATAAGCTGGAAGCCCAGCCAAAAAGGTGATCAGTGTCTAGAGGACATGACCTGTGAGGAGAACCTGAGGAAACTGGGGTTTGTCACCCTAAAGGAAAAAAGTCATTAAGAGGGTGAGGCAACCCAACACTAACTTTCCAACAGTGAAGTCACCAAGAGTAGGAGCCAGGTTCTTTAGCCGGTTCTTTACTGAAGTGGACAGGGTGGAAATGAGACAATGATATAAAACCGAAATAGGAGGTTCAACTGGATGAAGAAAAATCACATTGAGGACAATTAAACATTGGAGCTCATTGCCCAGACAGTATGGGAAATCTCCATCCTTAGAGGTTTTCAAAATCCAACTGGACAAAGCACCAAGAAATTTGATCTGAATTCAGATGAGCATGATTCACTGAGGTGATCAATCTCCCAAAGTCCCTTTTCAATGTGAATGATTCTATGATTCTAATAAAAGTTGCTCTTACAAAACGAAAAGAGCCTAGCATTATTTTAGTGTTGCTACAGAAAAACTGGTGTAAAGTTTGGACTGCAATAGAATTAGGGTAACTAGAAGACCATGTCAGTATAATGCTTAACTCTACATGTGGTTTAAACAAACAGACCTCTAAAGCAGCACCAGTGATAAGGCACGGTTTAAATTTTGTACTGAAATAAAACACCTTCTTTGATTTACTCAAAATGAATTCTTCTACTTCCTTTGTCATTACCTCCTCAGGCAGGGTCTTCTGTTTTGTGGAGAGGAACCTTATGGCTTGCTCAGTACAATAACCTCTCCCCAAAGAATTTGACTGAATAGTCTTCCCAATGGAAAAAAAATCAGGTAATGCAAATTATTTTGGAATTATTTTAGAAGAGCTGAACCTTCAAAGCAGAAGAAAGAAACTTCCTCCTGTAAGACTACATGAAACATTTTAAAAAACTTGTTATACTAAAAAAAAAAAGTTCATGTAGCTTGATATAAGAATCCACATTTCTTTATTGGGCTGTATAATTTTGATCCACAATTACTGAAAAACTTATCATTTGTAAAAATGGAACTATGAGTGTGTGTCTTGCATTGTACCAATAAGTTAAAAAAGAGTCATTTTGTCATCCTACTAGAGACTGGGAAGTATTATTAAGTGACATTTATAGCAAAATTTGCCCATTATCTTTAGCGTCCATTTTAAACACCCTCATCAGAGTATTGTTCACAAAACTGAATTCAGCAGAATCATTTGAAGAGAGAAAAAAACCCTGATGTGCATACCTTTGAAATGCAAAGGTAAGAGCAGGAAAACAGAAAGATTGCTGGTATCATACAGGAAGGATTTTATCCTCAGCATTTAATTATAAACAACTTGTATTTTTAAAGACTACTAAACTGAGAAAGTAGAAAAACACAATGCGAAAGCAGAAAGAAAAACAAAAAGCTATTTGTCACTGGCCTCCCTGCCAAAACTTTAATACTGAAAACTTGATAGGGATCAAAACTTGAAGGGAAGTTATTATTCAATATATTTTGCAATTTTAAGCTGAATAAACAAGCTAATCTTTGCTAAGTTAAGCTGAAATACTTATTTCTTTTGAAATTCTTCAGTAATCTACAGTATTTCTAGGTGGAAGGAACAATTTTCCTCTTGAACTAAACAGAGAAATGTGTAAATCTCAAAAAAAAACCCCTAAAATTCTGCTGAAGAGCCTGGAGACTTAATCAGGCATTTTTAATGCAAATTTAACCATGTAATATTTAGCACTCTATAACTTACTGGGATGAAAAAAAATACTTATTTTATTTAAATTCTGAATTTATTTTGTACCAAAAATGCACTGTATGGAGGAAAATCCCTTCAGGATTTGTAAAGTTCCTGAGTACCTGGATTAACAGTCAAGTAACTTGTTTTCAGAAGGCAATTTGCTGCAGTCCATAATTAGAAGGGTTTATGTTGTGTCGTGTCCCCCCCCCCCTTCCCCTTTCTCTACCTATGCTTTCAGATAACTTGAATGAAAATCCCTGCAAGTTTAAAAGAAGGATTTTCAGTTTAGATTAGGATAATTAGTGACCTTTCTTCAAATGTGGCAGTATAGAACCATAGAATCATAAAGTGGTTTGGGTTGGAAAGGACCTTAAAGCTCATCCAGTTCCAATCCTCTACCACAGTCAGGGACACCTTCCACTAGACCAGGTTGCTCCAAGCCCCTCTTCTAACTTCATATTTGGTATGAAACTATTATGGTGTATTTATGAAGAAAATAATGTATTTTTTCCCAGATCTAAGCACCACTGGAGAAAAATTAAACAGTAGCTCTGTTCACAAAATCCTTAATTTGATCAACAAAACACACGGTGGAATTTCTGTTGTTGTGGAGTCTTATTTGCTAACAGGACGGATAGTTCTACATTTGTGCATATGGCAGACAGAAACTCTAGATTTCACACCAGGAACTGACAAAAATCTTTAAATGATCTGCCCACATAATTTAACATCTGGTAACCAAAAGATGCTTCAAAGGTACAATTTCTATCAACACCACAGAAGCAGCATGAAGCATCTCAAGATTTCTGCAAAAACGCTACATTCAGAATCACATCCCCATGGTTCCTGGTGTGAACAAAAGTTTCTTGCCCCCCCCACCCCCCCGGGCAGGATTTATGAGAATCAATTACATGAAGTACTTTTTGAAAGGAAAAAAATGTAACAGGTATGTGCAAATAAACTGTATCTAAGTTTCTACAGAGTTATTCCTTTGATCAACAATGGAGTGAAAAAGATTAATGAAAATTAATCTATCTTCCCATACCATCAGACAAGTTTCTCTTTTGCAGGAATACAACTAAGTACTCTTAATTTCTAAGATCAACTCTTCCTCCCAAAACACATAGCCTATAAAAATAAAAAATAATAAAAAAGGTATAAATTCAAAGTATCATAGAATCATAGGGTTAGGGTTGCAAAGTACCTTAAGATCATCTAGTTCCAACCCCCCTGCCATGGGCAGGGACACCTCACACTAAACCATCTCACCTAAGGCCTTGTCCAGCCTAGCCTTGAACACTGCCAGGGATGGAGCATTCACAACTTCCTTGGGCAACACGTTCCAGTGCCTCACCACCCTCACAGGAAAGAATTTCTTCCTTATATCCAACCGAAACTTCCCCTGTTTAACTTTTAACCCATTACCCCTTGTCCTATCACTACAGCCCCTAATGAAGAGTCCCTCCCCATCACCCTTATAGGCCCCGTCCAGATACTGGAAGGCTGCTATGAGGTCTCCATGCAGCCTTCTCTTCTCCAGGCTGAACAGCCCCAACTTTCTCAGCCTGCCTTCATATGGGAGGTGCTCCAGTCCCCTGATCGTCCTTGTGGCCCTCCTCTGGACTTGTTCCAACAGTTCTATGTCCTTTTTATGTTGAGGACACCAGAACTGCACACAATACTCCAAGTGAGGTCTTACGAGAGCAGAGTAGAAGGGCAGGATCACCTTCTTCGATCTGCTGGTCACGCTCCTTTTGATGCAGCCCAGGACATGGTTGGCTTTCCGGGCTGCAAGTACACACTGAGGCCAGCTCATGTTAAGTTCCTCATTGACCAATACCCCCAAGTCCTTTTCCACAGGGCTGCCCTGAATCTCTTCTCTGCCCAACCTATAGCTGTGTCTGGGATTGCTCCGACCCAGGTGTAGGACCTTGCACTTGGCATGGTTAAACTTCATGAGGTTGGCATCAGCCCACCTCACAAGCGTGTCAAGGTCCCTCTGGATGGCATTCCTTCCTTCCAGCGTATCAACCGAACCACACAGCTTGGTGTCAGCTCCGCCCCCTGTGTGTCCCTGCTCCTGTCAGCTGAGCTGCCGGCTCCTGGGCAAGGCGTGGGCAGGACTTGAGGCCTCCTTGGTGGCTCTTGATGCTCTGAGTTGAGGCTCCTGAACTCTGAGCTGCTCACCTCAGCAACTGACCGGCAATGGGCAATGATGTCCGGTTTAAATCTGCCACTGCCCCTCCTGGCACTGCCCCCTGTGAGCGCAGCTGTCAAGGACTTCAGGCTTCCTTGGTGATTCTTGCTGCTCTGAGTTTCAGATTTTGTATAAAGTTAAACTTGCTACAGATTCTTATTCTTACAAAAAACATTTTCATCCTCACGAAGGTCTGACTGGGCATTGACAGCCACGTCAGCTGGCTCAAGAAAATTCTTGAACTTGGGAGTAAACTGGGCTGCAAGTGTCTTCTCCTTGGCACCTTCTTTCACACCATCTGAGATCGCCTGGTATGCAACTTTATGCTGAAAGAGGAAAATCAGAACACATAAATAGAAAAATCTTGGGTTATTTTTGCAAGACAAGGAAAGAATTTTTTCTCTCCCATTCTCTTCATCTATTTAAATTAACTACATTATACAAGCTTCATACAAAGAACTAAATTTATCTCTTAGACCAGCATAACTGTGCCAATTTAGCTAAATTTGCCTCTATTGACTGTTTTTTACTGTTATTCTGGCTCCTCTGCCTGTTCAAGTGCCTACCCTAAGGCTAACATCACTTGTACACCACTTGTGTTTTGATCATTGAAGATTCAAGGAACTGCACTATCGCCTTCATAGAATCATAGAATCATAGAATAGTTCGGGTTGAAAAGGACCTTAAGATCATCAGCTGCCAACCCTCCTGCCATGGGCAGGGATACCTCACACTAAACCATATCACCCAAGGCCTCGTCCAACCTGGCCTTGAACACTGCCAGGGATGGAGCATTCACAGCCTCCCTGCGCAACCTATTCCAGTGCCTCACCACCCTAACAGGAAATAATTTCTTCCTTATATCCAATCTAAACTTCCCCTGTTTGAGTTTTAACCCATCACCCCTTGTCCTATCACTACAGTCCCTAATGAAGAGTCCCTCCCCAGCATCCCTATAGGCCCTCTTCAGATACAGAAAGGCTGCTATGAGGTCTCCACGCAGCCTAACTGAACTTGGGTGGTTTTTCAGGAGTTTCTTCTTCTGTCTGCTTGTTTCTCATCTCTGAAGTAGAGGCTACCTCTTCTAAAAACTGTGACACTGTAATGGATCACATCAGACTAAATAATGGATCACATCAGACTAAATAATGAAAAAAAGCTCCAGTTATAATATAATGTCAAAGTAGAATGTGCTCCAACTAGAATCAGACAGACATTTCTGACTTTGCACCTACAGGATGGAAACTTCAGTATAAATGGAAGTCTTTGGTGTGTTTGCAGCACACTGCATTAATTCTCCCTAAAGAAGCTGTATTTTAATATTCAGTACCAGTGCTCCTTAAACACTCCCTACACCTTCCTGATAGGTCTCCATGTTGCCAGATTCTGAACTGGACTGGGACATTAATCTGGAAGAAAAAAACAAACAAAAACCACCAAAATACCAAACCTGATTAATTTTCAGCTGATCCACAAACTAAAATACATATTATTATAGTCACAGGTTCTCAGACTGCACATTAATAACAACTTTTCTGTGGAACAAATTAATACATATTAAAAAAGCAGTCATGTAGCAATGAAATAGAGCAGCTTGTGTTCTATGAATGTGTATTACTGCATGCTAACTACTCCTATTATTTAGGCAAAGTACAGTTCAGGCAGGAGTTTGTTTTACACTGCACCCAGCACTGTTGAATGTTCAAGAAAAAAGCAGGCAACTGCAGAAGCAGTGTGATCCTTTAGTTTTCCATGTTTCCTCCCAGTGTGTAACATGGGAATACCCTAAGCCAGAGACAGTGTCCAGACCCTTATTTTTAGTATCTTGTGTGGTGATAAGCATCTAACTACTGTTTTCAGACATGCACTGATTCGCCCTGGCAAGGCTGACAGCCTTTTTCTCTCTGCTCCCCCCACCCCAAGAAAGGGCAGCCCCTCTGACTGGTCCGTGGACAAGCAGCCCAGGACCCTCAGCTCAGGCTCCTCGGTCCAGGCCCTTCGGTCCAGACCACGCATCCCATGCCCCTTAGCCCCGGCCCCGCGGCACAGGCCTCTTGGCTAGAATTCTTGGCCCAGGCCCCCGCAGCGCAGCCCCGCCGGCGGAGCAAGGTCCCAGCAGCGCAGGCTCCTCACCGCCGTGCCAGGAGGTGTCGCTGTGCCCCCGCAGATTCACTCCGGCTCCGCAGGGCCGTTGCCGACGGCAAGCGCAGGGTCTGCTGCCGGGGAAGAAGCCGGTGTGCGGTGGAGCGGAGTCTGCTCACACGCACAGCACAGTACCGAGCCTTAGCTACATGATATCCGTGCCTTGCTGAGGGCGTGTTGTAGCGCTGGCTGACAGAGCGTTACAGCTGTGCTATTCCAAGTGACACCTCCAGTTCAGCCGGAAAACAGAGTAGAGAGAGAAGCTGGGGTGTTTTTTCACTATTTTTTTTCCAGGTTGCTGTCTTTGTACATGTAGTAGCAGCCTGATCGTACCCGGCTTACTCTTCACCTTGCTACAGTGTGTAGGAATTTTAAAGCCTCCTTTTAAATGAGTTGTGAACTTGACTGTGATAGTGATGTTAGCTGGAGCACTGTGCAGTTCTGGTGTCCTCAGCATAAAAAGGACATGGAGCTGTTGGAGCAAGTCCAGAGGAGAGCTGCGAGGATGATCAGAGGACTGGAGCACCTCTCGTATGAAGACAGGCTGAGAAAGCTGGGGCTGTTCAGCCTGTAGAAGAGAAGGCTGCATGGAGACCTCATAGCAGCCTTCCAGTATCTGAAGGGGACCTATAAGGATGCTGGGGAGAGACTCTTCGCTAGGGACTGTGGCAACAGGACAAGGGGTGATGGGTTTAAATTGAAACAGGGGAAGTTTGGGTTAGATATAAGGAAGAAGTTCTTCATATGAAAATTCATAGCATATTTCATGAAATGAAGTATTTCCACAACTTGAATAAGGTATAACTCTGGAATCGCACAAATCAGATCATACAAAATACTAACCTAATGTTTTGTGAAATATTTCAGAAAATTTCTTAGAATATTTCTGTCTCCATCCATGAAGGACTCACTCTCAATCCCTTGTTAAAGTCTTCAAATTCATAGCAATTTTCATGGAATGTTACCTGAAGAAAGCTACACAGCCACAGGTTTAATCAAACATGAGTATCAAATTGCCAAAAGTAGGGACATAAGGCACTCTTGAGTACATGTCTCAAGCAGCTGGCACTTTGGAGGAGGAATTGTGCACTTACAGAGTATTTTCACCTTGTTCTCACAAGTGGGCAAAACTTGGTGCTTGGAACAGCAGGTAGTGCAGCACTGCCACTTACTAGGCAGCAATGTTTCCTCTTTCAGCACACAATTGCTTTATAATGTTATCCTTTAGCTACAGATAATTAAAGAACTTCTTTCTAGCATGCATGTTTTCAAGTAAAAGATTTAATCACGCATGAGGGATGAGCAGTCTTTCCAGAGTTACAATAACAATAATGCCTGTTACAGTGATAGGAACAAATCAGCAGTTTGTTGAATATGAACTCGAGCATTCCTGGCATTACTAGAGTCAGGGCTGTTTCTAGACCATCTGCATTCATATTAGTAAGTCTACCACTGTGCTCACCCAGGTATTGCAGCCTTAGGCAATGGTAGTAACCACTGAACATCTTGAAATATCTGCTGATACTAGTTTCTTAATGCCACTCCCCACCTTCAGCACACAGAATCACAGAATTATTAGGGTTGAAAGGGACCTCTGGAGACCTAGCGCACCCCCCCAGCAGCATCATGTTCCTTCCATCAGACAGAAGAAAGAAATCACTGTCCATCACAGCCCTCCTGACAAAGATGTCATGATCCTGGCAAAATCTTGCAATGCCCATCTCTCCACCCCTTTACCTACAATTTTTGGGGAGAAAATTGTAATGTCATACTTTAGACCCATAGGGACATTTGAAGCATGAGCACACCACCAGTGGAAAGGGTTAAACACTTGTGAAGTTGGGGGGTTGGTGTAACCATTTCAACCATTTTAATATCAATGTTTTTCAGTACTGATAATTTTGACTGTCATGGTTGGTTAAAATATAAATAAGAGTATCATGAAATTATAGACTCTATATATGGTGTGTTCTCTTTCACCTGTCACAAGATTATGAATTTTTGAATCATAGAATCAACTAGGTTGGAAAAGACCTTTAAGATCATCAAGTCCAGAAGTCCAGTCTCTCTCACCACACTAAGCCAGGGCAAACAAGGATGTCATGCTTATCCACAGGAACTCTGGTGCCTGGGCAGGCAGCAGTACCTTTGAGCCGAATCCTTCATAGACGTCCAAAACTGTATTTTGTCTTAACCTGGAAACTCAGTAGACAGTGGTGCCAGGACCTTCCTTACAACATGCCTCCTGCTTGATAAATTCAGAACCAGCATTTCAGCCATAGATGCTGACCCAGCAGCCTGATGTACTGTCCTGTGCTTTCCAGTGCTCCTGAGGCTGCTCCTGAAGCTGTTGCCACTGCTTCCAAAAATGTGTGAGAGCTGCTCTGCAGTACAGTGGCAGATTGTCAGTGCTAAAGCCACAAGGCAGAAAGCTGTGAAAACTTCTCCACAGCTTCTGTGTATTTGTAGTGACATTTGCAATGGCATGGAGCTGGACGGTAAGAGTGTGAAAATGACACTGGCTATGCAGAGGGAGCTAGACAGTGACAATAGAGTTGAGAAGAATCCTGAGGAGCTGAGGTTTAGTTTTAGCTGGTTTTGTCAGTTCTCCAAAGGTACTTCAGAAGAATCCCAGCAATACCAGGAATACCTGGAATATTTGGAAGATATCTTTAAAGCAGCACTTACAATGAAAGGTCCCTGCCACCTGGATGGAATACTGTGAGTTATAGCAGGCTGTATAAACATGGCTATGGAAACCACAGCCTGCAGTGCTTACTGTGCCCTGAATCCTAGTTTGAAATAGGATCTCTGAGTAGCAAATCCCTTTCTGCTTGGAACTTGTCTAGGTTTGAACTAAACAGCATACCCCTAATGCTCTGAGCCACTCTGATGAGAAAAGTCATCCTAATTAGATTCATTTATTACAATAAAGTTTGATGGCAATTTCTATCTAAAAGTTTGATGGAAAAAGTTTGATGGTAATTCCTATCTCCAGTTACCCTAAAAAAGCAAAATATTCTCTTCCCTTCTGCCACTTCTTGAGCTAGAGAAATTAGACTGTCAAAGAGGGCTTTTTTTTCTGGCATAGCTCTAAGGTTTTGTTGTAATGGGGATGTCAATTAATGGGGTAGTTTGTTATGTTCTTAACCTAACTGCCACCAAGGCTTTTGCATGTAGACCGGGTCTCACAGTAATCTGAAAACTCATAAAAATAGGAACTGGGCTTTCTGTTTCATAAGTTGTCTCCTGAAGACTTCACTATACTCCTTACTGTTCTTCTCAATTTCATACTGTATACTCATTTGTCATAAAAGTGTGGAAGTGTATGGAATTCCATTAAGAGGTTTTCACGTGTGAATGTGTGACTTACTTAGGGCCTTGAAAGCGTCTTTGTGAGCATGTCTAACTATGCTGCATTGGTAATTCCAGTACTCATCAGAGTTCTCCCATGCCTAACAGGGATTGCAAAAAACCCTGGAGGGGAACAGATACTACAGCTTTTTCCTAGATGTTTTGCACTGGAGCTCTGCAGCTGCCTCCTCTACCTGGAGAATCTGTGATCCTTGGAGCACGTGAATATTCTGTGCTGAGTAGAAACCCTTGATGTCTGCCAGCAAAATGTTTACAGTGCCCTTTGTTGGCTTCCCTGGGGACTTCATGCAAATGGCTTTGAAACACAACAATCCATAAGATCCCTAAATGCTTCTAAACAAGACCAAATTAGAAAAAGGCTTCACATTGAAAACCTAATTTTCAATTAGTGCCTATTCAGTGGGAATGGGAGTGGGGCAGGGGAGAGCTGGCATGTGAGATAAACTGGATTTGTTAACATGCTTTGAAAATGCTTACTGGCTAGCATGCCTTTTTCCGTTTCAAATGCTCACCTTGCTGTAATTTTGTGACATTTCCACAGCTGCAATATGCTCTGCTCTTAGAAACAACTCTGCGCAGCAGGAGGTAGACTTGAGAGAACCCCCAGCAGACTTCATTTGTGTGCCAAGTACACAGCTGAGCACTGCTGCAGAGGCTTGAAAGCTGGGAAAAACCCAGGTCATTTCTCTTCTCAGTCCATCCCTATTGGTATCAACCACTGCATTTATGAGAGCACTGAACAGAGAAGCTGATGACTGAATGGCTGGAGACCAAATGACATCTCATTCCCTCCAGAAAAGCACAGTGTGTCTTTCATATGACTGATTTAGGAGGAGATAGACAGTGGTAGTCTGCACGAAAGGCACTGGGGACCCTTCAGTGTTTTGCCAATATTCTCTCTCCTAACAGAGGAAGAGGACCAAATTAGTTTCTGCTGCAGCTGTAACTACTAGAAGGAGAGGTATGAAATACATTATTAGTTTCTTTTACCCCTTATTATTTTATAATCTTATTCTCCATCATGTGGCAAGATTGAGCATTTTTCCTGATTTTATGAATAAGTGTGAATGTACCTAGTCCTTTTCTTCCTGCTCTGTTTGCTTATGTTGCTTTGGCTTGGACATTTAGATCTCCTTGCCTTGCCTAATTTTCTCTTTCCCTTCTCACTTTGTTTTGGTTTGTTATTTATTGTTGCTCTTCTTAAAAATTATCCCTTCCCTGCCTTTAATGTCAGGGAATGAAGGGACTTTTGTGGGGTGTATATGATGGATACCCTTTAGTTAAGTGAAGACAAGGGGATGCCTTAATTTTTAATCGTGGAAGTGAGAACAAAAACTTACAATGAAGTTTTAAGAAAGTATTTTTTACTTTTAAAAATATTTTAAGACTTTTGAAGAAGGACATAAAGATATATTTGAAGGATTTATTAAAGAGATATGGGTATCTAATATGATATTTTAAATATATATGTGTGTGTATATATATATTTAAAGGCTGGCAATGCCTTTCCTAAGTTTGCTATGTTCATTTGCATCCAGGTATTCTTTCTGCAATCATTTTGACAAAACCCAGGCTATTTTGCTTTAGAAATACTTGCCTGTGTGCACTTCATTTCTACATTTCTTGACCTCCCTTGAAAGCATGAGCTCTGTGTGCATGAGTGGTTTAGGGCTATTTTGTGTGGGCCGTGGAAACATGGAAACTATTTGTTCCTATGAGAAAATACACTGAAATTAAACTTTCAGAGGTAGACAGGAATGTTTGAGAAAGGTTAACTCTACTGAGTATAAATGTAAATAAATTACTGTCATACACATAAACAGAAATGACAACATTGTATTTTGAATAAGGGAAGTATAAGATAAATTTCCTGGTAAGTCAGGCCTTCACTGGAACACTCCAGATAAATTTAGCATGAAACTTCAATTTTCTTACCTTTATTCCTGTAGATTTTCAGTTCCATGATTTTTCTTAATGTATTTGCCCTGTAAATCTTCTGAAATCAGGCTAGAAGTTGTTCACTTATTATTTTATGCCTTAATTAACTTCTCACATTCCTTCTTTGTTTCTCTCATCTCTTTTCCAAAGCTCAGAGGCCAGAGGAGCTCATTATTACATTCTCCTGTTATCTTTAACATTTCAAACAAATGGTATCTCAACTCTATAAACTGGCCATTTTCCTCTCTTCCCCAATATCTCATATGTAACATATTCCAAATGAGCACCAGCTCCATTATGTAGTGCCTCTTTTTCCTCTGCATCCTTTAGAGAAAGAGGAAGCAACTGGTTCTCTATAGTATAATTATATCCTTTCATAACAGAAATCTGCAATTACAGTACACTCATACATGTAGTATGGAAAACTATGGAACATACTGTGGAAACTGTAATATATAGTAATGTCGTGGTTTAAACCCAGCCAGACAGCTTGTTCACTCATTCCCCCCCTTCCTTCCCTCCCCCTACTCCTGAAGGGACGGAGAGGAGAATCGAAAAGAATGCAACTCCCACAGGTTGAGATAAGAACAGTTTAGTAACTAAGGTATAACACAAATCACTACTTCTACCACCAATAATAGTAATGATAAAGGAAATAACAAGGGAAGAGAATACAACACCTCAGCGCCAGCCGACCAATAACTCGCCCCCCCCCCCCCCGCCCCCCCCAGCCTGATCGCCTGATCAAGCACTGATCGATACCTCCTCCAACCCCGCAGTCTTCTAGCCCTTCCAGGTAACTCTCAGCTACATCCTGGGTATGATGTGCTGTGGTATGGAATACCTCTTTGATTAGTTTATGTCAGGTGTCCTGTCTCTGCTTCCTCCCAGCTTCCCCTCCTCCCTGGTAGAGCATGAGGCTCACAAAGTCCTTGGCCAAACCAAAACATCATTGTTATCAGCTCTGTTCCCAGGCCAAAAGTCAAAACACAGCACTGCACCAGCTACCAAGAAGGAGAAAAATGACTGCTACTGCTGAACGCAGGGCAAGTAAGAAGAACAAATTCACTTTAGAACAATGTTATGGACATCGTGTTATTTCGCAGCAGTTTGGGAGAGGCACAGTGGCTTGGCCTCAGTTGCCATTTTGTCCTTTTCAAAAGGTATGAACCACTCACTAGTGAAAATACCTGAGCAAAGTTTGTGGCAAAATGTGTGGACTGGCTAAACTTTTTCCCTTGCCAACTCACTCCTCTTTTCACTCTGAGTTTGTGTCGACAGGGAGCCACTGAAACGCCTTCTCAGCTTTCCCCCAGTGCTGACCAACCCAGCCATTTCTCAGTCCAGACTGAACAGAATTGATGAGAAGAGACTGCAGCTGTGGATCTCCTCCTCATTTGCCCAATGCTGCACTGAGAAACACCTCCTGTAGGGAATAAGCAGGGAGCACCCCCCTAGCTTAGGAAACAATCTGGGTTTCTGCTTCTGGCATGTGTTCAAATGTCTTGGTTATTTACTGCTTATTGTTTGGCTAATAACATAGTCAGGAGCATGAAGAGCTCTGAAAAAGGGACCTATGCTTCCCCTGTTAAGATACAATCAGAAATATCAGCCACTGGCAAGGAAACAGTAAAAGATTAAACTTCTTGACATGTACTCTATAGAGGTTTACAATACTGACTGTTTCCTCATTAGTCTTCTCGGTCCCAGTGAGCCATTCCAGCTAATCCTTTTCTCTTGCCATTGAATCTGTCCCTTCCAGCAGCCAACACAACTAGCAATGGGCTATTTATATGTAACTTGCAAAAGAGCAGGACAAAATTAAATGCCTGAATCACAAATTGAACAGGGAC